AATGCAGTGCTGAAGAAGGGACAGAAGACCCCAGGCTTCTCTCTTCTCACTGCCCAACCTCCTGCCAGTGCCTCCCATGGGCCAAACTCAACCCAGATACCAATCAGCAAGAGAGCTCAGGTCATGTGGCCAACCTTCTGGACCACAGAGCAAGGCAAAAAGGGACCCAAAACAGATCTGGGAGTGAATGCAAAGTTAGTCACACACATAGGTACTATTATCATTCCATCTTCATGTAAGAAAAGTGAGGCAGAGAAGTTAGATGTTTGTTCATCGTCATCCAAAATACCATATTTTACCATCTAGAAGTCACCTAGATGAACAATCTGCTGCTGTAATAGGCAAGCCAATGGAAGCTAAGTACTGGGAGGAGAGTGTTATTTCAGTGCCACAAGGGCACATGGGTAGGAGTGGGCTGAGGGTGGTGGAGGGGGTGTCAGGGAGATGTCCAAGAATGGTGACTTTTGAGCAGGGTCTTGACTGAATGTAAAATAGCAGAGGACTTCAACTCAGGTCACTTCCCTGCCTTTCCACATGGCTAACACACAAGCTGAAATAGGGAAAAGGCACTCCTGGAAAACACCTCTACTGAATACCTTCTTTCCCCTGCATCAGGCTATGAGCACTTGATACATCCCGGGCACTCCGTAGCATCCATCTTTGCATTACCAGAGTCAAACTGTGAGGAATAAATGTCATCATGATTCCCTGGGAGACAGTGTTGGGGAATGCTTAAGATTTCAGGCTCTGGGGACCAGCAGTTAGTGTAATAGATATGTCGCTGGACTCCCATGTAGTCAACTGCAGTTCGAGTCCCAGACCCGGTGGCTTAAACTCACACCAGGCGCGTGTGCGTGCGTGCCCAAGATCCCAAGAGGAGAATGGAGGAGAAGGCATTGCGGCGTGACCATCCCCCCGCGGGGTGATTTCTCGCTTTCTGTCTCTCTGTCTCTCTCTGTCTGTCTGGCGAGCGCACGCGCCCTATAGCGAAAACCTCTCAAAAAAAAAAAAAAAAAGAAGATTTCAGGCTCTGGGTTTGTATCCTAAGCCTACTACTCATTGACTAATGGCACAACTTTGGGCAAATTGGGTAATCTCCCTCAGTCTCCTTTTCTGAATTTATACAGGGAGCGTCCTCATAGTAGAACCAGTGTGGTGAGAATTAAGTGAGATAATGTATGTAAAGACCTTAGCAAATAAACGCTTGTTAAATTATTTTGTTACAATTATGATTATATGATTTTACTAAATAGCAATCATTATGATTATGAGTTCATAGAAATTCTATAACCTAATAGAAACTCTATTAGAAGGGAGCAGTGAATAGTTCATGGTGGAATCACAAGAAAGGAGTTTTGGAGCTGGATCATGAAAGACAAATAGCTCTCCAGGAAGAGGAAGGGGAACGTTCCAGGGAAAAGGACAGCAAAGGCGAGGTCATGGATGTAGGAAAAATGGTGGATATTTCAGCATGATGGGGTATATAGTGCAATGGTGAGAGAGAAGAGGAAGTAACACAGGATAGGCTAGAGAAACAGTCAAGGCCCTTTCAACAAGTCCAATCTTTTTATTTTCTTTTTAACTTTCAGTAGCTCTTTATTGCTTACAACAGCTCTTTTCAAACTATTTTTGACCTGGAAGCATAAAATTTTTAAATGTATTTTACACATTTAATCACTACACATCACTTAGCTTGTGAGTCAAATTTACCAGACATGAATACACTTCACACCAGTCCAGTTGAGGATACAAAACATACGACCATCATCAGGTAATAATCCAATCTATTTGTAAACCCAGTGCTAGCTCTGTCTTCTTCTAAAATTCTTTTATGAGTATCCTACCCCACAGCAACCCCACCTTCTCTGAATCTCAGTAGTCCCCTAGTTCTACAACTCGGTATCTAATTTTATTTTAAAGATAGTATTCCCAAGATTCTTTTGTGCAATCTTTTTTTTTTCTCTAGCTCTCTAATTCTTACATAGTATTTCTGACAAATAACACCAGTAAACCCTTCGGAGACTTTGGTTGATTGGTTCACAACTCTCAGTAGTTTAGTCTCTATGCTAAGTTAAGAAAGAGTTCCCTCCTCAGCACATGATGAGTGACAGAGTTCGCTAGAACATCTCAAAGTGTCCCCTGAAGCTCCAGGGCCCTGGTGGCCAAGCTTGAGACATGAGGCTGCCTGATTTCATCTCTGTCTCCCATTCCACACTGCCCCCTGTCTTTTCTTCACATCTTTACACCAGGCCACAAAGGGCCTGTCTTTTCACAGTCTGACCCCCAGTGGACATCATGAACAGTAGCCAACATTATTTCCATTTTTATTAGCAACTGCTTCACTTTTAGGTCCTCAATAGTCCCTAATTTGTAACAGAGCATTTTCCAGTCGTACCATTTTAAATCACCATAATAAAGGTGTGTGAGTGCTGTAGATTCTTTTTCCTCTGAAGATTTGCAAAAGTAGAGGAGTGCTCCCTGCTGGGAATACAGTTGTGGGTGGCTGGCCCAGAAAACAGAGGGGAGAATGGAAATTGTCCATCTCTCCTAGTCAAGTCTGAGACTCTGAGCAAAGCCATCCTTCACCAACAATCATCTTAATAGGGCTCACACAACCCTTCTGGTCAATGGAATGGCCATCAGCATGAAAGCCAGCTGCTTTAACTGAAAATATGTCCCCTGACCTAAAGGTCAAGTGCCTTGCCTTAAGTACTTGTTACAGCTGGACAAGAAACCACACATAGTTTTTACCAAGCAAAGTACTGGTGTTGGGAAAGAACCGGATAGAATTAAAATATCTACAATAAAATTTCACTATTTGCAAAATCCCCTGACACTAGGCAGCAATTTACTGAAGGCTGACCATTTTCCAGGAAGCAAGAACTCAAAAATAGATGACTATGAACATCCTTAATAAGATGAAGGAAATCATTAATTAATTTATTCATTCATAGATTCATAGTAATATCAGATTCCGATGTAAATATTCTGGGTTTTTTTATTCATAAATTAGCATTCTAAACTGTAATAGGTAACTTGGTTTAACCTGGGGAGCTCAGGGCTCTAGTTAGTCGCCACTTCCAAGCACCCTCTCCAATTCCAATCATAGCACTTTGCATTTTCTGTTGTTACAGTCAGTTATTTTTTCTTTATCCCTGACCAAGCACTAAGCTCCATGAGCTCCATTTAGTTCATAATCATGGCCCTAGCAACCACACCGTTCCTTTCAAGTAGTAGCTACTTGATAAGTATTTGTCAAATGATTGGATGAAAGAGATCTAGAGCCATCATTCATTAACGTATATATGAATTCATTCATTTATTCAATTTCTAACAATATCTGCAAAAATTTTTTTGTCTGGGCAGTTTATAAAGAAACAAAACTGAGAATGACTGACCTCACTCTTGGGGATGGGAACTGGCTCTGCCAAGGTGGAGGACTTGGCATAAATGACTAGATTCCGGTGCATGGGTTATTAGAAATTAGGTAAATGATCAGATGAATGAATAAAATAAACTATGATGTTTACAACAGATTTCCAAGACCAATTTTCAGCCTCAGACAGGTATGGCTGAGGGATTTCTCTCACCTTGTTCTCATGTAGAACCTCCTCTTATTTTCCATTGTCCTGAGATAAACTGCCTCTCTTGAGTGAGTAACATTCCCATCCATCATAATCTCTCTGCCACCCATAAACTTGTCTACATCCGCGCTCCATCTCCTCTTTGGCTTCTTCCTCCTTACTCACTGTGTTTTCATAAATGAGGTTAGGATACATCCTTCTTCTATTTAAAACCCTTCACTTTATTCCATATTCCTAAAGAGTTACTTCCTAATCTCTTTCCTTCATATCCAGGGTTCCTATAGTGGCACCTTTACTCTTTGTCTTTACTATTTGACTTCTTAAGAAACCACTAAAACTTGGTTTCTTCACTTATTTCATAGAAACTGCTCTCGCCCATGTTATTTGATCCATCTTAGTCATTATTTTTAACTGACCTTTGTAGTTTTTGCCACTGTTGATCAAACCTTAAAGTTCTTCCCCTCTGGAGACTCAATAAGTTATTCTCATAGAGATTCTCTCCCACCCTTTCTGACCCAGAATTTAGGTCTTGATCTTTAACTACTGAGGTTCCTTAAGGTTCTCTCTTCAGCACTTAGCTCTTCTTTCTTCAAGCACTAATCTTAGTTAGACCCATCTAAATCCACATCATTGAAGATCATCCATTTGCTTATACCTCAAAAAAAATGGACTCTCCAACCCAGAGTCTTCTCCTAAGCACCAAACCTGTGTGTAAAATTGCCTTCTTGAATCTTCACCTGGATGTGCCCAAAGTCATTCGAAGCCACCATGTTGAAAACTGAACTTCTTATTTCATCCAAATTCTACTTCCCCTCTCTATTCTTCACTCTAGTGAATGTTAGCTCCATCCACTGAGGTACTCAAACCAGACATGTGGTCATCATTGTCAATTCCTTCATCTCCGCTTGTCACCAAGGTCTGTCCATTCTATTTCCTTAACATTGTTCAAGTCCTTCCAATTCTCTCCAGCCTCATATCTGCCACCTTAATTCAGGCCACTGTCACCTACGGCCTCGATTAATATAACCTTCAAGTTGATTGTATCTTTGGTTTTTACTTTCTTCCTTGGAACTATCGGGAAAGAAAAAATCATTTTCCCCTCAGATTTCTTGGTTAGGATAGACCTCTGTCAGAAAAGACAGATTAAGGATAGGATAGTGAAAATGTGACAGGCAGCAAAATGTGATGCTCTGCCAGGCTGACCCACATGGAAAGATTCTGGGTTTTAGAGGCCTCCTTGAATATACTGGGCACATGCATGCCCATTATCTAGGGCTGGCTGAAGCAGGGCAAGGACATTGTTAGGGGTGCTGTCTCTTTGTCTCTCTGTCTCTGAACTCTCATTCATGAAAGAAATAAACTTTAAAAAAACAGATTAACAAGAGAAAAGCAAACAAGTTTGATAACATGCATACCTTTATACATGGAAAGACTCAGAGAAATGAGTGGATCTCAAGAAGGTGGCTTTGAATGCAGATTTTAATACCATTATTCACTGAAACAAACAAAAAGCAAGGTGTAAGGAGGGCCAATAATGGAGAGATTCCCAAGAAACACAGTAAACCTGGGTAAAGTTTGTTTAAGGTTAGTTATAAAGGTTAAAATTAGTGCTTTCTCCACTGATGTACTGTTCAGTGAGTTAGAGTCATCCTTCTTTTCTTGGTGAGAGAGAGAGAGAGACTCTTGTATTTGAAGATTTTCTTTACGGACATAAATTTACCTTACAAAGAGGTAACTTCTACTGTTTTCAGAACTTCTCCTGTGTCTGCAGTTTCTCAAAATGATCAGCTCAAAATAATCATTATGCTAAGGAGGCATTCTTTAAAGTAGCATCTTCTGGTCTCCTATAGTCAAATTTTGGGGTGGCGTCTTCTGGTCTCCTATACAACCAAAGTGATTTTTCTAAAAGACAAAACAAATCATAAAATTATTCCTCCTCTTT